ATGCTGCTTGGCCTGCTGTGTTCATCCAGCCCTGCACCTTGTTATCATAAAGTTATATTGAATGCCTAAATTTTGATGGGCGCGGAACTCTCCGGCTTTTGCATTCTTAAGCCTTTTGCTGCACCCCTTACCGCAGCCACCCGCCCCCCACCCCCCACCCCGCCAACGCGCAGAAAAATGAATTTGCCAAACTTCCCACTTTTGTATTAGGTTGATTGCTGTATCCTACTGGATGCATAACTTCCTCAAAAGGCAAAAAAACCCTTCTTGTGCCCGTTATAAAATTGATTTTGTTCCCTTTATCATTTTTAAGGATTCATCTGAAAAAAAGGCAATAATCACTGAGCAGCAGTTGAATAGACATTGCGAGTTTCAGTCCTGATAAGGTCACCTCTGTGAAGGAACCCTCAATAGGATGTGTCTCCTTGTTTCAGTGTTATCAGTTTAAAGTTATTGCACGGAACATTAGGCGCAATAAAAATTTACATGATGTATCCGTTCAAGAGTACCAGCAAGAAGTTATTTCTGCAAAATTTCTCCCCTACCCATCGTAGCAAGGTTAGCACCCAGAGTCCCACATACTGTGCGTATGTGTATGTGTGTGTGTGTGTGGGAGTGTGTGTATGTGTATGTGTGTGTGTGTGTGGGAGTGTGTGTGTGTATGTGTGTGTGTGTGTGTGTGTGTATGTGTCTGTGTGTGTGTGTATGTGTCTGTGTGTGTGTGTATGTGTGTATGTATGTGTGTGTGTGTATGTGTATGTGTGTGTGTGTGTGTGTATGTGTATGTGTGTGTGTGTGTATGTGTGTGTGTGTGTATGTGTGTGTGTGTGTGTGTATGTGTATGTATGTGTGTATGTGTGTGTGTGTATGTGTGTGTGTGTGTGTGTATGTGTGTGTGTGTATGTATGTGTGTGTGTGTATGTGTATGTATGTGTGTGTGTATGTGTGTGTGTGTGTGTGTCTGTGTGTGTATTTGTGTGTGTGTGTGTGTGTGTGTATGTGTGTGTGTGTTTTCTAATCAACCTGTTCAGAATATTATTACACATCTCTTAGAAATATAGATTTAACTATTACTAGTTGAATCAACCGCTAAAGTCCGCATCACCTTTTTTCTACACTAACCAATTACACCATTTCTTGATTGTCTTTGTTACATCTGCTTTCTGCTAAATCCTCAGATTTCACTTCTAACAGAAAAAAAAACACTTATAGAGGTTTATAAAATCACGAGAAGCATGGTTAGGGTGACTAGCCAAGTTCTCTTTCCCGTGATAGGAGAGGCCAAAAGCAAAGGGCGTAGGTTTAAGGTGGAAAGTGGAAAGATTTAAAAGGGCCTTGTAGGGCAACTTTTTCTTGCAGAAGGTGGTTCCATTTGTCACTGATAAGTCATCTGACCAGCTGTCGATATCCTCCTGCAATTTGAGGCTAACCCCCTCACTACTTACCACCCCATTGATTTTCATATCATCTGAAAATTTATTGATGAACCTCCCATATTCAAGTCTAAATGTTTTTGTATATACCACAAACTGCAAGGGCCCTAACACTGATTCCTGCAAAATCCCACTGGACTGGCTTCCAGTAATTAAGGCACCTCTCAACCAATACTTTCTTCTTCCTGTCCCTCGGCTATTTCTGAATCCAAATAGCCAAATGTCCTTGGATTCCACAGGCTGTTATCTTCACTTCTCACCTACAGTAATAGATATTGTATTACTGCACACATACAGGAACCCTACCAAACATCCCAAGTGTTAAATATGGCTATCATCTCATGTAAGAATAATTAAGTATAAAAGAGGCAGTTGGATGTGTTGCTGAAAGGAGAAGGCATTCTGGATATGGTGAGAAGCTGAAGAAATGGGGTTTATTGTAAAATGAAAAAAATGTTGAATGTGGCAGCTCAATAATTATACTTACCAGTCATAACTTTGTTAATTAAAAGTAATAATTATTGTTTTGGAGTTTGATTTTCTAGATACTCACTCTCATTTGGTGTTTATATAAAGAGTTCGATGATGAGAAACTGGTTAGATGTGGTCATATTTTATGTCAATATCACAGCAGAATGATTATTTATGTGACATGGAAATAATGCCAGTCTCCACTCTACCGTTCAAAAATCATTAACATTTTGAAGTTTTAGTTTCCAAGGGTGGAAAGCAAAATTCAAATGACCATTCGCTGTGCTGACAATATTACAAAAATACTATGCACTAGAGAAAGAAAGACTGTACAATATCTAAACGGGGCTGGGGTGCGGGTGGCGTTGCGGTGGGGTGGGATGAGTATGAGCAATAGATAGGGAAACAGAATCAATGAAAAGTACTCACAGGAATTGAAAGTGGATGCGACTGAGAAAATGGAAATGATATGGTGTAGTAAATGGAAAATGAACGATTGAAGGAACTGGGGAAAATATGAATGAAATGAGAATGTATAGAAGGCAAACAAAAAAAAGTAAACGAGAGGGAGTCGGAGCAAAAGCAAATCTGAGAAGAACAAGAAAATAAGTAAAGAAAATTGGAAAGGGGTTGTAAAGGAGGGAATGAGATGGATAACATAGAATGGGAAAAGCATGATTTATGAGCAGCGTGAAAGTATGAGAGAGGAAGACGAATTTTGCAAACGAAATCAGAGGCACCTGACAGCGTGTAAGAAAGTGACCGTAATACAGAGACATCTGAAGGAAGGCAAAACGGCGTGGAAATCACATAGCGTAGCATGCATCTCAATATGATGCAGATTTGCAATCCAGACCGCGTGGGAAAAAGTTGTAAGAAAGAGGTGATCCTACGGAAACAAAATCGAACATGAGATAACTGTTTTCTCCTTGTCCTTATTTTAAAAACGATTAATAGCACCACTCCGGTCCTTCAAGGTCACATCAGCACAGGGCATCATGAGTAGACTATTTTCTAAAGCACATCGAAATCACTTGATTAGGTAGGTATTGATAAATATGTGTACAACAGGTTAATACACAGGTACATGTTTTACTGGCAGTACCTGATGCAGCTCATACCGGAAGTTTGTACATTCTACGTTCAAAGTGCTTTGCGATGCAAACACATCATCATATCAGACGAGAGGCAAATACAGTCTCAACTAAAGAATTAAATATATATTATATATATATATTTCTGGGATGGGTTGGTAAATTCCAGCCTCTCTTTAAGGAACTGCAGTGAGATGCTGATCCTGGTACCCAAGCGAATACCAAAGGAGGCAGTGTTTTTCTTTCAATGCCGCGCGGTCCTACAGCCCGTGGGATCTCCCTCCTGCACATTGCACATAGGCCACACGTCAATATCATAGAGAAGCAAAGGCGCATCAATAGAATATCTAACCAACAGAAAGCTGTGCAAGCAACAAATTAATAACACTGAAGAACTGACAGAAGACAATATTTTCTTTACAAAACAGGTCAGATTGTGCTGTGATTTGACAAAAGAAAAATGATGAAATGAGAGGATGTTAAACTTTTTGCGCACCCTCAATACGTTACGTACCTAGATCAGCATAAATCGAAATATGTGCTTTTTATTGCATGTTTTGATGGTGATTGAAATTGCTAAGTAGATGTGCCCACATGAAATGAAAGTTGAAGTACAAAAGAAGCCGTCTCCAAACAACTGGATGTTCTAATGACAGGATGCTGAATGTTTTTTCTCTGGATGAGGCTGGCAGATTGGGCGCAGATGGATCTGCTGAAACCTTCAAGATGCAAATGAAACCCAGATCCTCCTGGTTAATGTATAATTTGCAACATATGGTATTTTAAAATCCAGCCCATGCTTTTGTGAAGAGGATAACTCAGTGTACGACTCACTAATGATTCCCAATTATTCATTAACAGTCTCCAAGACCAGATCTCTATGGATTTTCATTTGCTAATATTTGCTCTTCAAATATTTTGTGAAACGTTTACAACATATTTTATCTACAGACTCGGCCGAGAACATCTGTGATCGTTTTCACAGCAACATTTTATTAACAGAGAGCTGAATGGCCCATCCACTGTTACCCATATTTACCTCTCAAGCACAAACACAAAAAAACGTAATAAAAGGGAATATTAGGGGAGATTTATGATTTTTCCCGTGCAAGTGTACGTGAACATATGGCAGGCGCTGTTTCAGAAAGTTCTTCCCTCTTTATCACTGGAGAGAGGGATAGATCCGCGACTGAGATAGACTCAACATCAGCCTCAGCAACCCGGAGACAGTGGTCACGTGACCAGGTCCATCCAGAAACACAAGGTGATGTGAACTAGATCATTGCCTTTCAAATATAAAATCTAGAATCCCTACCCTCCCCAGACATCCCCAAATACTTGCCACTCAGTTGTAAAACTGGGCATCTCCAGTGTCTGTGCAACAACGGGCTGATGGGCACAGCTTGCAAACTGAAGCCAAAGATACTGAGGAGGGGAATTAAACAAAAACTTCCCGGTCTTCTTCATATTACAAAAGACTCCTTCAGTATCCGACCTTCTTATTCATCATGTTTGCTTTTTTAATTTGTGGTCTGGGAAGATTAGGTTCTTTTTTGTACATATGATTTCCGTGAAGGTATGATTGAACACAACTCATCCCTTGGAGGGTTTGCATCCAGCTGTGTGTTGTCGCTGTGATTTCCAGACTGTTGAACAAAAAAGCGATTCCGTGTTTCACTACTTTTTAACCTGTCCTTTTTTTTTACCGGACACCAGCTCTCCACTAACCTGTCAGTCCTCCTCTTTAACGGTAAATCGAATTAATCATCGTTTGTGTTAGGTGCTACCTCCCTGTCTCGCTGTAAAATTTTAAGGATTGTTGGGATATTTGTGCTGTATCAGCATTGTACAGACAGCCATCCCGTGTAACGCAATATCTTTCTTACATAATTATTGTAATTTAATGTCTCATTTTATGATACAACCTAATGCCCACAGTCTAAACCAAACTAAATCTAAATGCAGACTAAATCGCGTTTGGATACAAACTGGGAACAGCGTAGTTCTCGAAATATCCATTGTCAAACTTATACCTGTGTTTGGTACCGAACAGAAAAATGCTCATAGCCCCTTCCTACTGCGACAGCCTAGTTAGGATCTCAGGCTATAAAAGGGAATCATTTCACTCGTCATTCACCGCTAAGACAGCAGATAATAAGCACAACTCTTTGTCAATGATGAAGAGAAGCGCACCACCGGTAAAACACAAGGAGTCTGCCGCACATTTCTCAAAAAGCAGAATTGCCTCGTCAGCGTAAAACTCGCTCTCTCATTCAAACCGTGGCAAAGTTACACTCCAGAGATGCGCTCCCTCCCCTCCACTTCCCCACAAACCGCTTGTCAGCTTGAAAGACCTGACTTTATGTTACTGAGGCACCATTGTGACTCGCTCCACGCTTTTCCCACAACATTCAGAAAGCTGCAGTTGTCAGACACTCTGAGAAGTAGATCTCACGCTCGCAATGATCCTGAATTCTCCAGGAGAGAAATAACATCGCAGTTGTGCGGTTCAGTATCTCTGTGGCTCCTGTAATTCGGCGTAACGCTGTTGTTCCGTGCGGCACAGTGCGCAAACAGCGCATCTTCCAAGGAAACAGGGTGACTAATGTTGTTGGCCAAGCACCCCAGCAATTTCACTCCTTTAAATACCCATCATTCAGGTCTTCAAATGAACCCCTATCGCTGACATCAGTCATGAAATTGATGGACTTTTGCATGAGTGAAGGGATTTTGCTTCTTAATAAAGTATATAAATTCAATCTTAAACAGTTCGCAAGCGACTGTGAATAAAACTTCCATTCAAAGTTCGCCCATTCAAAAAAAAATGTTAATTTCTAGTTTGGAAGAAATGTGGGCTGTTTCATTAATTTATTTCCATTCCGTTTTTCTCATTTCAGATAAAACGCCACACGCGCTGATATCAAACAATAATCACAGCCGATGCGCGCTCAGAGACAGGAAAAGCGCAAGGCAAAAGGGAGATTTCCTCTCGTCTGGGCGCAATGGAAGGATCGGACTCGTGCTGTTGAGCATTTGAAAACAGGGATCGTATAAACAAAAACGCTCTGATCTGTGTTAAGGTTACATACATTACGAAACTCCTAAATGGCTAGAGACAAAATCAAGCTCAACAATGCTCGAATAGGGAAAAATAATATTGAAACTATATATGTGTAAACCATTGGTTAACTTTAAAAATTAAACGCCCACGTTGCTCTTCCAAACACAATTATGTTTCTGACATGTTTGTGAAATTGATGAGTCGTGTTAGTAATCTACGAACATTAGCCCAGAGAACAATCCTACAGATTACCGGACCCGGGCTGGTTTACTCCTGTTACAGCCCCATGCAACTCCCAACTCCTGGGCTCTGTCAGACAAACTAGCTCCTACCATGCGACCACGGGAACTTCTCTGGTATGATTGGTTTTGTGGGAAATGATCCTGACGCATTGTGAAAGGATTTCAGTTCTTATTGATTTTGCTTCCGCAGTGTTTTTGTTACAATGTGAGTAAACTCTCTTTCCACCACAATGATCTGACTCATCTCCCGCCGGCGAGTTCAGGCAGTGCACGTCTGAAGTCAAGGAGAGATGCGAGGCAGTTCTCGGACCCTGCGCTGGGTCGGTTGGAGGGTATTAAGGGCTATCACTGAAGTGGCTGGGTGACAGTGAGCTCTCCATTCGCGATCAGAGCTCCCCGAATACAGTCTCCTCCCTCGCAATGTGACCTCACCTGTGTTCTCCTATCACAGTCTCCTTGACTGAGTGTTAAAATCAACAGGAGGCAGGGACAAAAGGCCACATTAACTCAGGTCCACCCCGCAGAGACATTACAAGAGACAATCATTCACGTCGCGCCGAACTCATCCATCATAAGGTAACAAAGCTGAACCCACGGTAAAGCTATTTCTGATTGTATTTGTCTTTAAATACGTGATAGAGTCCAGGGTGAGAAAGTTTTAATTGATCGGTAGTTGTTCGGTGCAGACTGAGTGATGTGACTTGAAAAGTGATTTGAAGTTAAAAGTGAAAAAAATTAACAATTTCGAGGCTAAGGACCCCAAAGCCTTCCTTCATTGTTCAGTCTACTTGCCTTGGAGATTTTGAATTCCTTTACATTGCTTCCCGCGTTTAATAATTTGGTGTGTAATACCGTTTTGATCAAGACTCTGCTCTTTCTTTAACTGTACTGCGTTGCTTTAGCAGTAACAATATGGAATTCTGATCACTCTTCCCATTGCTGCCGCGTCTCTGCTGAATAGATTGAGTACTGAGCTCACCAACTTTTGGATTTTTTTCAAGTGTGCTGCAAGCTGGATCAACACTAGATACTTCATAGAGTTTGTATGCAGTCAATATTCCCTTCCAGTGTGCAGTACCTTAAACTTATCCATGTCATTTTTACCTCCTCGAAAAAAAGCTATAACTTTTTGAAAAGAGATATACCTTTCCAAATGATCAATGAAAGTAACCAAAGATTAATATTTCACATTTTTATTGTAGCAACTAATATCACCCAAAACCAAACATTGCTTAACAGGTAGATAGCATATCAATGTACAGAAAATGAATTTTAGTAATAACTCACATGATCCATATATTATTAACAATCTCTTTCACTGTGCCCTGTACTGCTAGCAGCTGTATAGGTTTT